ATGGAGCAGTTAATATACGAACAGCAATCCTGCTTAATTATGTGGATGCGCAAATACTCTTCCACCAGGTGGAAGGAGATATATCTTCTATATTGCTCCATACAAAATTCCTTGCCCACAAATTTTCTCTTGCTTTATAGTTCGCCAAATCTACCATTACATCTATATTTAAAGTTTTACCCATATCATATATAAATTCCATTGCAATTAAATAATCAGATGCACTCAAATCATGCCCTTGACTATTAGGGTCAAGGAAGCTAGCTGCTAAATGTATGGGTTTAACAGACATTTCCATCCTTTCACTAAAGGAAGTCAATAATTGCTGTTTTTCATTTTCATTAATTTCAGTTATTGACGTAAATGCATTTTGCAGCTTATTTTTTATGTCATTGAATGCAAAATGTACACGGTGAATATTAAGTTTGTCTGATTCGAAAACACTTATCCATTGCGACATCGGTTGAAATATTTTCAAATTTGAATCTAGCGTTGTCCAGAATTCTTCACTCAGGAGTGTTGATTTTGTTGTTGCTTTAATTTTAACGTTTTCGTGAACAGCTAAAGCTTGAGGGGTGCCTTACTGTTAATTAAGCTCTTTAAAGACATTACGTAGCTACCCCATCGAGTTTTTACAGGAAGCTTTAACTGCTCTCCTGATCCTTTTTCTTTACAAATTTTAGCAAATATTGACGACAAAATTTGGCTGTATTTTATTGTTTTTATTATTTCAATAACTAACAAAAAGAAGTTCTTTATGGTAGCGCATTTTAAAAAATCGTCACTTATTAAATTAAGGCAGTGTGCTACGCAATTTAGAGGTACGAACAAACACAACCTCAGGCTTAGATATTAAAAAATTTACAACTCCTCCATTTCGTACATTGCTCCAACCATCACACTGCAAATGTAAATACCTTGCTGATTTTAATTGAGTGGTAATGTCGGTTTGCATTTCGGTAAATAGATTATTTAAATATTTGTTGGTAATTGTTTTTCTGTTTGGTAATTTGTAGAGGGGTTGCAGCTCTTGAAAAAACTCTACCCAGAGTGGGTGTTCCACAATTGAAAATGGGGAACCAGAGACAATAATAGCCTTTGCTAATTTCTCATTGAGATTTTCCGAATTTTTTTGAGATATGGGTGATGCTTTAAAGAACTAAGCGAGCTTATCAAAGGACTCAAGTGAATTTTCAGTTGAATGTACATCATCTGTTTTAAAAATGTCTTTTTTTATCATTGCTGGGCATTTCTTGCAATTTTCTAAATGCTTAGTCATTTTATTTACATTTGCCCATTTATAGTTTGTGTCACAATATCTGCACAACACAGATTTGACACCACTGCATTTCTGGAAAAATGCTTCCATATGTTTTCATTTCTTGGTCTTCCCATGTCCAAAGCTTAAATTTTTCAAGTTAATTTTTACATTTCATCACTGTTAGAACCATTACTACATACCTTATTGTTCTTTAATGGCTTTTTAACGGAATTTGTATATTTTTTTTATATAAATTAAATTGTTTATTTTAAATTTATTTATGTATAAGATGATTGACAATTAGCTTTGAAAATTATGACATTTTTATAAATACCCAAAAAAGGTTTAAAAAAAGGAATATACCCGGTATTTACCCAGTATTAGCCCATACAATGGGTAAATACCGGGTAGAATCCCATCTATATCAATACGGAAACAAAAATTTTGTCAAGTTATCTAAAAATTATATAATTAAATGGGTTTTAATAAAAAGTAAATTGCTGGTGGAGGGTATTTAAGATTCGGCATAGCCGAATATAGCACTCTAACTTGTTTAATTTACATAGCTTTTAGGGTAGCAAAGCACACTGGGTATAGCTAGTCATTTCTATATATAAAAGCAATATTTGTGCCAAAATTTGTATGGATACCATTATTTGGTAATGAGTTATGCGCGTTTAAGTGATTTTCGGGAGGGGAACTTGTATGGTAGCTATGACCGATCGTGGATACTAATATTTTGTAATGAGTTATGTGCGTATAAGTGATTTTCAGGAAGGGACCTTATATGGGAGCTACGGCTGGACCGATTCAGAAAATGTTTCTTTTATATGAATTGAATTGACATAAAACTTTTACGTGTAAAAGTTTGTAAAAATATTGTCATTCTAAGAAGTTATTGACAATTAATGCATTTTCCGGGAATATGTACATTAGTATGGGTGGTATATGAAATTGTGAACTGATTCCGCCCATTTTTAAGAGGAATCAAGCTTTCATATGGAAACATTTGTGTGTTAATTTTAATGAAATATATCGCATAGTTTTTATGAAAATTGTATTAGAATGTGTTAAAAAAGCTTATTTTTTCGGAGTTTTTTTTTTTTAAATTTTGATTCATAACTCTTACCGATGTAAACCGATTTTGCTTATTTTCAATACTAAACTGTCTAGGACAATAGTGAATCTTTTGGCCGAATTTCATTAATTTATTTAGCGTCCTTATTACGTGAGCGTGTTTTACACAGACAGACGGACCGACGGACATAGCTAAATCGACTCAGAATTTGATAAGGACCCGGAATATATTTACTTTGTTGGGTCTCAGATGAATATCTCTTGGTGTTACAGTCGCCACTTTTCTATATTCCAAGTAATAGTCGTGTGGATAGTCGTTACTTTTCTATACCCCGAGTAAACGAGAGAGTGGTCACTTGAAAAAACTTTAGAATTAAATATGAAGAAAAAAAGAAAAAACATGATCAGTTTTGTCTGAGTGCAAAGACAATGAACTGTTATGTATGTATACTATTTCATCGCTTTTTAATCTATGATAAATGTAAGAAAACTGCCGGTACCAAAGATCCAATCAAAATCAAAGAATTAATAATTTAAATGAGTAATGAATGAACATTTTTTGCAAAATATTCTCAAATTGTATGTAGGCCACTATCTTCTGTTTAATATATTGCAGAAATGTACAAAATAACTGGGAAAATTGGAAACGTCTACATATAGAGGCGCCGGTAAATGTATTGATTTTCAGTTGGAGCGAAAATTTGAACGGATATGAGACGTGATTTATAAGCTGGTGTCATCGAAATAGCTAAGAGTTGTACAAGATGTTAAAATGTATCTGTAAATGCACAAACTATACACAATTTCCATCATCTAAATCAATGTAAGGCATGTGTTCCACCTAAGGAAGTGTTTATTTCAGAAAAGATTGTGAAGAACGCTTGGAGTTTCCCGATATTACGCAAACAAAGCGGAATACAACTCTAAAACTATATTTTGTTACAGATGAAAGTAAGTACAACATTTTCGGAGCAGAAAACCGAAGTTTTTTGCGGCGTAAACAAAATGTCGCTTGTGAATTAAAAAAATCATAAAGCAAGTGTAATATTCGTTGGTGGTATTATGATGATGTGGTGTATAATGTTTGTAGGATGTTTCCGAAACGACATATTTGTGGAAGAAAAACGGATAATATAATTAATTAAATATTTTTGAACTACATTTGGAACGATTTTCAGTTCGTTGCAATATAAAAATAATATACAACAACATAGAGTATAGTGGCCTCCGGTAGGTTAGTGGTTAGTGTTCTAGTCTGGTAGACCGGAGGTGGTGGGTTCGATTCCCACCTGAGGCACTGGTTAAGGAGCGCACAACAGGCCCGATAGAGGCCTAGGTGTATTTCTTCGGATTTGATGTATATACATCCTCCTTTCAAACTAACTAACATAGAGTATTATTTAAAATTTTCGCAATTTATTAGGACAGTATTACCTATCATAAGAAACAATTTTTTTGTAAATCGGACAAATATTTTAGAAAATATTACAAATAATACATGTTGTACGGACAATTGTTTGAATCAGTGTATGTAGCAATTTTGATTTAGCTAGCTAAAATTCCACATGCAGCAAAGCTCTTTTTTCTGGTGTAATATAAAAAATAAACTCAACGTAGAAAAATGTTGTTGATTTTAAAAGGGGAAATTTTAATTCCAAAAAAATAGATTTCGTATTCAGGTGAACGACAGTATATTTATATTTTTTTGTTTTTTACGATCAGATATGACACATTGGAGAAAATACCTCATCTAAAAGTAAATAAAAATTCATTAAGATGACTACCTAGTATAAAAAAAACAAACGTATGTATGTACAAATGTATGTACATATATATTTATAAACATTGGCCAACAGATTGGTGTTTGTTTTTTTTTTTCATTTTTAGCGTCACACTTTTTTTTGGGTAAAGATTCTACAAATACACACTAAAAACACACAATAGAGAAAATAGCTTTTTGTTTTTCTTTTTGATTTTTCATCATTTTGCTCAAAATAATATTTATATAAAAAAAAAAGAAGCACAGTGACTAATTTGAGCTAAATTAACAAAGACACCTTTATAAAATTACTTGAAAGTCCATAACTCACACACACTAGTATCATGATAAATAACTGTCATACAAACACAACACGGCTCATATTTGTCACGAAACCTCCTACATAAACCCAATTTCTCATTAATAAATTAATTAAATTCATATATCGGAATTTAGATAAACAATTTTGTTAAAAAATTACAATTTAAATATACTCATAAGTGTTGTAGAGTATCTATGGTCGAGCATGTCCGACTATACTTTGTTACTTGTTTAGATTCACAAGACGAAACAATAACTCAGCTTGATTTCTTTTAGTTGTTCAAATATTTTTAGATATATGTTAGATATACATATGTATTTAACAGTTTTGATCGTATGTGTTCCACTGTCCGTGAGTGGACGTTAGAGCGCCAATGTTCTCGGTGTTTTTGATGTACTAAACGGATTCACATAGTAATTTTTAAATAAACGCTCATACATGTAATAAAAAATCTAATCAAATCTACTTGGGTATGAGCATGCTTGTAGATCTACGCTCACTAAATGTTGGCACTGGCAAAGACGCAACAAAACAGATGGCAAATGAACGTGTGCTCTAATTAATTTAGTATTTCTCGAGAAGCTTTCAGATCTAGGCGCAAAGTGCTATTTTAAAATAAAAGAGTATTTATTTTTTATATTGTTTCTTTTGAAATTTTTATTTCCATTTTTAAAACATAAGTGTTTTATATTTTAATTTGGTAAAGTTAACAAATGACCACAATAGAAACATCAAGAAATCTGTTATTGAATGAAAATGATAACAAGTTGAATTATGAAATATCATGCGAATCAGACGATAGTGAAAATGAAATTCCTTACCATGCCAGAGAACATGCACAACCCTTTACATATGGGAACTTGCCTAAAGGATTTAAGAGAAGTGATCTAAATCATGTGGACATAGAGGAATTGCCAGAGTCCTCGAAAGTCTCTATGGCTTCACATTTTTTACCACCCAGCCCGCCTGTACAGAAGCGTGATTTAAATCATGTGAGTATTGAAGAGCTACCCGAATCTCCAAAAGCAAATAAGGCACCAACTATGTTTCCCCCAAGTCCCTCCATGTTGAGAAGAACCGGGCGTCCAAGCATTTCTCCGTCAAGACCGGTTTTGAAGAAAACACCATCACGTGAAGAATTTGAGGAAATGCTACGAGAACGCCGAGAACAATCTCTGAGGGAACAAAACCATGCTCTTAAAGAAGCTCAAAATGCTGCCATACAAAAAGATTTGGACGAGCTTCAAGAAAAATTAAACAAGCGATCATTACAGTTACAATCATATGATGTTGCTGACGGTTATAAGGAAAATCCATGTAGAGAGATTGTCAAACATGTGGAAACAGTCGATTTGCCAGATGAAAAAGATCATAACAATGTCACTAGAAGTACAATATCTACTGCTATAGTTGAGACACAGAGTAAATATGAACCTGCACTTATTCTTGCAGAACCTAGTCGACCGGAAACTCCAGCTTTTCCAGTTTCAAGCAAGTATTCAATTGAAGATCGTTGTGTTAGTCCCTATCCCATGATAACACCCGGCTCCCCTTCACTTCAGCGTGTGCAAACCGTTACAATTAATACCAAGGAGCGTCATTCACCTCTTAAATTTCCAGCATTAATTTCAGCTAATAAAAAGGCAAAAGCAACTGAAAAACAAATTGCAGAAACGCCACAAGACGTGGCACCTCATTTAGTAAAATTTGCCAGAGATTCTTCGGAATATTGGTATAAACCACACATGACGAGAGAAGAAGCCGTAGCTTTACTACGACAAGCTCCACCTGGAACATTTATCATACGGAACTCAACAACATATAAAAATGCCTTTGGTTTGGTTTTAAGAGTTTCTAAAGCACCTCAAGGTGCAGTAATACCTGAAAATAGTACAAACAGTGATGTACTAGTACGCCATTTCCTTTTGGAACCAACGACTCGAGGTGTACGGCTAAAAGGCTGTTCTAATGAACCCACGTTTACTTCACTATCAGCCTTAGTTTACCAACACTCTATCAACCAGTTAGCTCTGCCTTGCAAACTTATTATTCCCACTAGGGACTTAATGCTCTCGCCTGAAGATGCCGAACTAATGCACAGTCAAAAACAACTTCTGGAACAAGGAGCTGCTTGCAATGTTTTGTATTTATTTAGTATGAATATGGAGTCATTGACTGGAGATGAAGCCATACGTAAAACAGTGAATGAAATGTATGCACAATCAGCTCTACCATCTCCCATAGAGGTACATTTTAAAGTGTCACAAAACGGTATTACTTTAACCGATAATAAGAGACTTATGTTCTTCCGCCGACACTATACGCCTAACAATATTTCCCATATAGCAATGGATCCCGATAACCGTTTTTATACTGTTTTGGCTTTCGATGACGGCTTAGAACGCACCATTAATAAATCCATATTTGCATTTGTAGCACGCCCCTCTACAGGAAGCAGAGATAATCAGTGCCACATATTTTGTGATCTGGCCGCAACACAACCAGCATCTGCAATTGTTTCATTTGCGCACAAGGTGCTACGTTTCAATAAGAATAACCACCAAATGTTATAGATTAAGTGGTATTTTAGTAAATAAAAGTATTTTTTATTTTCAATTTTGTATTCGAAAGTTATTACAATAAACATTTAAAATCAAGTCCACAACATTATTTTCGATCTCTCATAAGCATCGCGTAGCGAAGCATATTGTCTATGTCGGTACCAATAGAGGCTCTTGAAAGTAGAGAATGTGTTGAGTTCATTTTTGAGAAAAACATTTCACCATCGTATTGAGACCAATGACTTTGCTTTAAGTTCTCATTGATCCTTTTCAGCTGTTGATTGATCTGTAAATTAGAGTTTAGATTAATTTTTGCAAAAAATCAAAATTTGCTTTATTACAAACTTTGGTAACCAGGAGAGGAGAGTTGTTACAATTAAAAAGGGCAGCTGAAAATTCATAGATATTTTCCGGTGTTTTGTTGATCAGTTCATGGAGAAAAATACGAATTATTGCTCTCAACTATGTAAATAAATGTAAAAAGAATAAGAACTATAAAATTTTAAGGTTTTTGGAATATAACAATCATAAGGACACGGTCCAGCTCTATTAGTTCATATCGTCACCTGAAACGCAAACGGCCCTAACTAACCAAAAATTCAAAATCGATTTTATTGTTGATTCTAATATATTGCATCAAAACTAATGTTCCCAAACAAAATTGGACTCCTCGAACCAAAATTTGGGATTTTAAATATAAAACATAAAAACATTTAAATATTAAAGGTAAAAATTCCAATTTATCCATTTTTCTATATGCCATTGTCAACTACCATAACAAATGATAGGTTTAACTATTGAACAATTTGTTTATTGAATAACAAAAAAATGCGTTGATAGAAACAAACATTTCAATTTAAATAGTTTTTTGCTTCTCATGTAAAATTTTTAAAATGTTAAATAGGGCCGTTTGCATTTTAGATTAAGATGTGTAAAATATTATTTCAAAACTAGCTGCGTGTACCCGGCGTTACCCGGGTTTCTTCAAAAAGTAAAGAGAATATTTTTCTATCTGTAATGACTTTTTTTGAAATATATATCAAAATTTATCTTATATCGATAAAATAGTTATTTTATTTTTCTGCATTTTTAAATCCTTAAAGTCATTTTCTGGACCAAAGAGTCCTTAAAATTTTAGAAATTGAAAATGAGCTTAAATTAGGAAATTTGTAGAAAAATTTAAAAAACTTTTTTTGAGAAATTACACTGAAATCAGCATTTTCAATCACTGGTAGGGAAATAAGGACACTTTCAAATAATTTGTTTTATTTTTTCCATGTGCAGTAGATTTAAAGAACTGTTCAGTTTAAATAACGTCACACCGTATTTTAAATTGTAGTACCCCTGGTGTAAAGAGGCAAAGTCTTCGTATTTTTGTAGTTAATAAAATAACTACAAAAACACGTACCATTAACCGTATAAAATTTCAAGCGATTTTTTTTGCTGTTTGAAAAAGTACATGCAATTGAAGAAACTCTGAAACGATTATGAGAAATTCTGCACAAAATCATGAAAAATTTGGGCTCATTGATTTCAAATTCCTTTAAAAAGAACAAAATTACGTTTTTTTCTGCCCTAGGAAAATATGAAGAATCCTTGAATATTGACAGAAAAACAAAACTACTTTTAATTTGACAAACAATTATGAGTTGTTCATTAAAGAGTAAAACCACCGTTTTTTCGTCTTTGTTTCTCAAAAATACATCTATTTATAAAAAAGTATGTTTAAAAATATTATTTTTATTCATTACCTTTTATACATCCACATTATAGTTTTGGATGGATTTACACACCACTTATTAAATCCGAAGAAATAAAGGTTTAAAGATCAAATATCGTTAGATATACAAAAAAGTTACCCAAATAATTTTACTTATTAAAATATCCACATCTCCTCTAATTAAAAAATTTCGGAATTTGTTATTGGTAAATGGAAAATGTGTGCTGGAATTATTCAAAATCATTATTTAATTTCAAAAGCTTGGAATAAATACGGTGCAACATACGTGCAGAATTTTTGGTGGATAATTTTCTAAAAGTATAAAAAGATATTGAAAGATGAATTCATCTATATTTTATATGAACAATGATTTATATGCTTCGTTTCAGAGGTATACCTATATAAGATTTGCAAAAGTGCTGTCTTTCAGTCAAATACATATCATGGTTTTTTTTAACTTATTGCAGATTTTTATTGTTATCTCGATTTAACAATAAATTTAAATTTTATATTTTGTGAAATAAAAATAGTTTACCGGTGGAAAATATAAGTGATGGAAGTAATATATTCAGATCTACAACAATATAACTTTGATAAAAAAATTCCGATTCTGTTTGAAAATAGTTTTTTTTTTTTTTTTGAAGATATACAGCGGATTACAGGTTTTGAAATAAGAATAGTTTTCGCGTGGAAAATATAAGTGATGGGGTATACGAATCCACAACCGATTTTACGCATTAGATGAAAATCGATTTTTGATAATAAATTAAATTGATTGCAGATTTTTATTTTACCTAATCGTAAAGTAACTTAAGGACCTACAAACATTTTAGAGTTTTCAAATAAAAATAAATTTTTGATAAAAATTTTAACTACCTAAATAATAATTCTTATTAACTATAAAAAGTATATATCATGAGCATTATAAATGTAACAAAAAATGGACGGAAAAAGGTCATTGCATTTCATTAAGATTATAACAGGCCCGAAATTAGTGGTATAGGTGTATTTATTCGAATTTAATGTATTAAACAATATCTTCCTCAAACTAATAGAACTGTTGTCATGCAAAATTTCATAAAAATACACTGTCTGTTACCAAATTTCTTGAAAATCGGTTCATGTTTTTTATATTTAGCCTAGAAATTTGGTGTTACAGCTGTTATTCAAAAAGTGAACATAAAAATGTTTGTAGCATCAATACCATATAGAGTTTTTTTTAACTTCTGAGGTTAGACCTATTAAATGCCAAATTTTATGTAAATAAGTTTATTAGGTATGTAGTGAAAGAGTAAAAAAAAAGTCTCATATATATTCATTATTATATATTATAGGTTTTGAAGATGTAATGCGTCGTACTGTTTATTCCACAACATTCATTATAACAGATTTCATGAAAATCGGATCAGTAGTTTTTTGTAAGTTTTTTGGATAGCTTTATTAAAAGTGGGTGTAGAAAGGGGCGTGGCATCGGATCAAGTTCTTATATATAGTCTATAGTCCTTTCAAAGCTTATACCTATCGGTATGCAAAATTTCAGGTTAATCGGATTAGTAGTTTTTGGATATTGTGATTGCAAAATTGGTATAATAATAGTTTTGCAAAAAGTGGGCGTAAAAAGGGGCGTGGCATTCGATCAAGATCTTATATAGCCCATTGTTCCTCTCGGGGCAAGACCTATTAGCGGTCCAAATTTAATAAACATATTTAATACATAAGCCCAAAAATATTTTTTTTACCTCATTAAAATGAAAGAACAAAAAATATATCTTCAACGTTGGAAAAATAGAATTATTTTCACTTCTTCGGAAGCCTTTAAACATCACTTCCTTAGAAGGTTAAAAAATCATTTAGTACTACTTTTGAAGTGGTGATAAATGTTATTCTTTTGGAAGTACTTCGTTTTATTTTTGCTGGGTATATTTTATAAATATTTCAACCAAATCTTAACTTTATCTTTCCAATAAGGTATAAAATATTAATATCGAGCGACAATAACAAAGTTATTAACATTTTCTTTTCACAAAAATGTAGCAAAAACCACTAATTAATAGTTTATTCGTTTTTTGTGTAGATATTTTTGTTAACATCACTTCTGTATGCAAATCAATCAGTTAAATATATGTATATGCGTTGGTAAATTGGCTATAACATTGCATACCACATTGGGTAGACAATTTTCTCTAGAAGATAAATGTCTTAATGTTAAGAAAACATTATTTTAATAGCACATAAAAAAAAACAAGTAAGAGTTCTACATACTTAATTTTATGTTTCTAGGTTGAATATTTTAGAAAATTCAAAAAGTACCTTTTGTAGAACGAAAATCTACCAAAAAGTCCCCTTACAGGTTCTCACCTAATCCGGGCTCTACATCATATACCGGCGTATAGAGAGGCAGATAAAAAAATCACCACTATACACACACTATTGGCATTTTTTCAATGATATTGCACTGAAAAAAATATTTGGTTCTTTTTAATTTTGAAGATTAAATTACTGTAAATGCGAATATTTATAAACAAAATGTAATCAATGTACATAAGAATGATAATTTCTTCACATAGAAACAACATTTTAAATTAAAATGTACAAAAAAATATATGAAACAAGATGAACTTATTTACTTTCATTGTTATGCATTATAGAAAATTATTTAAATTATTATCGTGTTGTGTACATGTAATTTCCCGAAAATCTTCGTTGTCAGAACCAGTGTTTCCAGAACTCCCTCAGAATAAAGTGCAAAATGACGGTCAAAAAAGTGCAAATTCGTTGAAAAAAGTGCGAAATTTAAATTAAATTTTTAAGTCTGTGCTGCTGTCTGTCCAGGTATAATGTACAGGTCGCAATATTTCACATAATTCAATGAGATGTATTATGTGAAAAATGCAAAAGACTATTTATGAAGTTCGATGAAATTCGGTACACACATTCTTCATGTAAATACAGAATTTAAAGTTCTCCAAAATTTTCGTTACGGTCCAGATTTTATCGACAAAGTTCATATTTTTTTGGATTTTGTTTTCAACAAACATTCAATTTGACATCGTATATTTTCTAAACTGTTTGTCCGATTTTAATCGTTCCCAATTAAAGCCTATGTCTTGTAGTTTGATAATATTCAAAAAATTTAAATTTTTGAAATTTTGTATGAAATGATGTGGATTATTTTACTAAAAGTTGATTTACTTGAGATCCCCTCGTTGTCCCATTCGGAAATTTTTATATTTTATTGAAAACACTATAAGCAATCTTATGTGAAGGAATAAAAATGTAAGGTACCTTTTTTGAGATATCCTTGACTAAAGGACGTTATTTGATGTCATCATCCTTACGATAAAACTGAAATATTTTAAATAAAATATTTTCAAACTATAAGACACAGGTTTGTATTAGGAACTAAAACGATTAAAATCGGTTAATATTTTAGAAAATATACGATGTCCAATTTAATGCTTGTTGAAAAAAAAAAAAAAAAAATCTTAAAAACTTTCAACTACAAATTGAATGAAAATTTGAAAATATTTTCAAACTATAAGACATAGGTTTTAATTAGGAACTAAAACGATTAAAATCGGTTAATATTTTAGAAAATATACGATGTCAAATTTAATGCTTGTTGAAAAAAAATCTTAAAAAATTTGAACTTTGAACATTGATAAAATTTGAAAATTTTTGAAAACTTTAAACTTCGTATTGATACAAAACCTGTTCGAAAACATTTTTAAAGCCCCTAAGA